TTCAAAGTTCTTTCTACAAAGAATGGAGAAGAAGAATTAAAACACACACACACACACACACACACACACACACACACACACACACACACACACACACACTTTTACAGCAGAAGATGATTTTCTCTACTCCAGCTAAAGACATTTAGTTCACTTTGATTCATTTCAAAACAAAGCTTAAAAGTTTGCTCTATATAGGAAATTTATCAMGTGAAGAAGACCGTAAATATTTTAATTGTCACATTATTACTGGTAATCTGCAATATGCCTAATACTGTCAGATCCTCGTTGTGGGTCATGAAACACGAAACAAGTGAGGGATGAGAAGAAATCACTGAACTGCTTTAGTTCAGTCAATAATTTGTCAGCAATTAATTGAAATGTCAGCGCAAAGGAGGAGATAGTTTCACTTAATTTGGCACTTTCACAAGATTCAAGGTTATAGCCCACTGTGAAAAGTTAGCGTGTTGATGTTAGCATGCTAATGTTAGCATGCTAATGTTAGCATGCAGTTTCAAACTTTGCCTTGAAAAGCTAATTTACTTTTTAGAAGTTCAGTGAAAATCACAAAATTTAAAGTACAATATTTTACTATGTATCTTGGTAGTTTTCCATATTATTGTTTTCTCTCATATCCTTTTTCTGATAAAGCAAGTAAATGTTAGCTGGCCTGTGTACATTTAACAGTTCAACAAACAAAAGATATATGAATTGTTAAATGTTTAAAATCTATCATTTGTAAATTTCCAAGCATGGATGTACCCAAAACGTGACTATGTTAATTTTAACAGTAGAATTTGGCTGTAAAACATTAAATTTAACATTCACAAGATGTAGGGGATATAACCTGTGAAATAGTAGCATGGAGTTTCAAACTTTACCTTGAAAAGCTTGTCTTTTACTTTTTAGAAGCTGATTGTAAATTACAAATGTGTAAATTACAAATTACATTTTTTGYTAATATTTTGGTAGCTTTGTTAGCCAGCCTGTACTAACTGCTCTGTTAGCAAAAAAGTAAATAAATAAATAAAGGTCAGATAAGCTCTGTAACTTCGTACTTTGATTTTTTTTTTCATTCAAATTTGACCAGAAATGCAGAACAGTTGACTCTTAAACTATTTTTGTTTTTAAAAGGATATGTTTTCCAACTGTGTAGTTATAGAATTATGATTTCTCAGTTCAGTGTTGCTGAAAATGAAAAAGTCACATTTCAGTTGATATTTAATTTAGTTGTCTGACAAAACAAACAAACAGAGTAGCTTTAAATAAATCAGCTGTAATAAACTAATAAATAAATAATAAATATGTCTCCGATAAATAAAAAAAATGCTGAAATGTTTGAGCATTTACACAACCTGAAGTTAGTATCAAATTAAGACGTGTTATGAAGCAAAACATGACTTTTATATCCAGACTCTTCAGTGGTTTTAGTGTGACAGAGTCAGTTTTTATGCATACATTTTCTGTGGCTGGGGAATATTTTCCTATATCAGCACTGTCACAAGTTGTTTCATCTTCAGTTTTAAATTAAAATACTAATTTCTCATGTCTCATAAAATAAAAAGTTAGAACTCAGTCCACGCTGTGACTCGTGACAGGTAGGACTGGTTTTAATGATTAAAAAGAAACACGAAATGTCCGATATAATCTGTGACTCGCAGGCAAACCGATGGAGTAAACTGTTATGAATAAATCATCCAGAGTCATATAAGAAGTTCTTATGCACACAGAGGGACAGAATGCTCCAATAAGCATCAATCTGATTTCCCACTTCCACCCTTTCAGGCAAGAAGACACTCATTATTCTGCTTACACTCCAGTGCCACTTCGCTCTCTTCGTGTTTTTTTCTCCTTCTCCAGCTGCAGCATGCATATCTTGTCACTCACTTGCTGCTAAATTCAGAGCAGAATGAGACAAAGAAATGTGAATTAAAATATTTTTCCATATATGAAAGTGCTTGTTTTTATTAGCCATATGAGTTTCCAAGTAAAGCTGAAAAATGCATTGAGGTCTGGCAGCTGTTTCAAAATTTAAAGACCCTCATAAATCTTTCAGCCGACATCTAAGTCCTAAATCAAACTTTTAAACAGTCGATAAACCTTGACGCCGCTTAAAAGCCTCAGAACATCATTTGTGCCAAACTGGTTTTGTTCCTCTGGTGCAATGCAGGCAACGGGTACATCGAAGGGAAGGAGCTGGAGAACTTCTTCACAGAGCTGGAGACTGCTAGACGAGGAGCAGGAGTGGTGAGTGTTGGCTCGTGTCGCACAGATATTTATAAAAAATTCAGAATTTCATGTATGACAGGTAAAAACAAATGGGGTGTCGGTGTCACAGTGAATAACTTTCACCTCCAGCTCAACTCAAAGGACATCCTAACAAACTATGATTGCTAGGGTGTAACTCAAGAAAAGATGCTTCATTAAAAATGCTAAAGATTGCAGCAGCCAATAGTTGTATAATTAATCAGATAAGATAGTGACTCAACCAGATAACTATGAAAACGGATCATCTGATTAATGATTGATTAATTTAAATGGATCAATGCTTATCAAAATGGGTAAAAATATGTAAAACTAGTTGACATTTTTGCATACTTAGAGATCTGGGGAACACAGGCACTGAGATGCTTAAAAATTTGGGTAACGGAGATGGATGTACCAAGGGGAACATAGATATCAGGTAAACATAGAGATGGATGTACTAGTGGGGAACATAGAGATCAGATAAGATGGATGTACTAGTGGGGAACATAGGGATTCAGGGAATGTAGGGATCTGGATAACATAGGTCTCAGGGAACATGGGGATCCAGGGAACAGAGATGGGTGTACCAGGTCGAACATAGGTACCGGGGAAAATAGGGATCTGGGAAATATAGGGATGAGTGTACTGGAAAGAGAACATAAGTTTTCAGGGAACATAGGGCTGCATTATTAGTGAATGAATGAGATCATCAATGAATTCTTGGATAAAGTCAGTAAGTTCTTTGCTTAATAGTTTGCTATGTATCAACACAACACTGGTTCGTCCTTTAGGAGCCTATTTAAGACTGGATGTAAAGAGTGACTGAATTCCAATTAATACAAGTCTTCAAAGTGAATCTGTTCATTCARGACCAGGAAAGAGCCATTCACACGTAGACCACTGTAACACTCTGGCTGTGTCCAAAACGGCAGGWCGGGTCCTCCGAAGGTCGAATTCGTCGACCGCATACGTCACAGCGCCGCGACGAAGGACGTCCAAAACGGAAGACTCCTCCGATGCGTCCGACAAATACGTCCTTCTTTTTCCCCGAATCGAAGGACAGGTCTGATGGATCCTTCCCGGCCCAGCATATCCCATAATGCATTGCGGCCCGACCGGAGATTTTTTAAAGCTAGTAATGGCGGACGAAGCGAGAGAAAAGAATACATTTTAAATAAAAATATGGTGATTTAAAAATTTAAAAAATTAGCGGTTGTAATTCTAATACTTTTATCATTTGTATGGACATGTTTTTAATTATTATTTTTTCGTCATAAAAAACGCGAAATAAACATGAACCTACAGCGCGTCAATTAGTTCTTCAAATGATACCTTTAAGTTAATTTTATAGTTTTGTGATATTAATAATGCTAATGTATTGATATTTTTCTAGTTTTGATTTAAGTTTGCTTGTTTAGCGTCGTCACAGTTGCTAGGTGACATGACGTACGCCGTGGTAAGGAGGGGAGGCTAGACCGTCCAAATCCACAGCCTCTTTTTTTCCGGTCTTCCCGGTCTACCAAGGACCCGGCCATCCGAGACCGGGGAGTCTGGGTCCTCCGGAGGACCCGGCCTGTCGTTTTGGACACAGCATCTGTATGTTGGTTTACATAAATCATCTTTGCATTGCTAACAAACTGTTCAGGATGCAGCAGCTCATCTTTTAACAGGTACTAAAAGACACACGAACATCTAACTCCAGCATTGTTTCCTCTCAGTTTTAAGATTGATTGTAAGATTTTACTACTTGCTTTTAAAGTTTAAAATAGTCACGTCCTTCTTAACATCTACACACCAATAAGAGCGCTCCTGGTTCTCTTGAATGTTCCAAGAAACAAATTCTTAAAGGTGATCAGGCTTTAGCAGATTCTTAAATATCTGCTATAAACTAACATTTTAAATTTTCAAATAAAGCTRGTCTTTTTCATGCTTTTGCCTTTACAGGCAATACCTAATTAAACAAAATTTCCTGTGTTTTTATATCTGACTTGGTTTCAGGATCCCTCACATGCTTCGTTTAAAGAAAAGTTGAAGGAGTTCATGGCCAACTTTGACAAGAACTCTGATGGCATAATCGAGATGTCTGAGGTGAGCCTATTTTATGAGACCAGAAACCCCTGACAAACACTAAATATTTAGACAAAGTCTTTCTTTTGATCCATATGTTCTGTTTAAATGATAAAAAAATAAATTATATTTGTATAATCCTTCTATGTCTTGTTGCAGTTGGCCCAGATTCTGCCTGCAGAAGAAAACTTCCTGCTCTGTTTCAGAGAGTTTGTTAGATCCAGTTCTGAATTTATGGATGTAAGTTTGTATGTTTTCATTATTAATTTATTCACCTTTATTGAACCAGATAAAACCTGTCGAGTTATTTTACTGTGCTTCCCCACTTGAAAGGTATAGACATCCACACAGAGCCTTTAAACTGGATTCCACTCAATGACCAAACAATCCTCCTTTCTTAATTTCTTCCTTTATTTTCAGGTCACTTTTTTCAGATCATTTTCAGGTCTTTTTTCTCAGGTGAAAAACCTTTAACACATAATGGAAACAAAGTCAAATTTGAAAYACATGTTTGTTGTGTAAATAAAACTAGAAGACCATTAGTTTAAATAAATAAATTTTCATCAACAGTCTTAAATATACAATCAACCTATCTTCAAAATCTACCAAGTACTTTGTCCAGAGAACTATGAAAATTTAATACCAAGAAAATACTCCCATTATCTCATGATGCCATAAAGACACAAAATGTTACACATTATATTTTCAACAGCCCAATAAATATCAAACAATAACACTTGGTAAAATCAAACAAATTTTAAACAAGTATTATCCAGCAATAAATCCATGACAAAAGTCACTGATCAGAAATGTTCTGGCCACATCCTTCTGAAGAAATAGCTCTGTGGCTGCTTTAACTGCAGTACCATCACAGATGCAACAAATGTAACAAAGTCGAGAACATTATTGTTGTTTGAAAAGTTTGTTTCCTTACCGGCTGCCTCTCTGGTGTTTGTAAACGTCAGTTTTGCACAGATTTTTTCCATGTCTGGTTGGCACCATCCACAGTAATCAAGTGTTGTTCACCATGTTTCTCCCTGTGTCATCAAGTTATCACAGAGTGGTTCCTACACTCTCACCTCCAAGCTTGACTTGATAAAGTCCTCTGAGATCACAGATCTCTTTTTCAAAGGAGGCCTGGGCCTGAAGGCAGCCCAACATGCATGTATTTAGACTGTGGGAGTAAATCCACATAACTCCACAGGTCCAAACCAGGGGAGTGTACCTATGTTTCACAGTACCTATGTATCTTGGTATGTATGTTTCCTGGCACCTATGTACCTTGGTACGTATGTTTCCTGGCACCTATGTACCTTGGTGCCTATGTTTCCTGGCACCTATGTACCTTGGTACGTATGTTTCCAGGTACCTATGTTCCTTGGTGCCTATGTTTCTCAGTACCTATGTACCTTGGTACGTATGTTTCCTGGCACCTATGTACCTCGGTACGTATGTTTCCAGGTACCTATGTTCCTTGGTGCCTATGTTTCTCAGTACCTATGGTACGTATGTTTCCAAGTACCTATACCTTGGTACGTATGTTTCCAGGTACCTATGTACCTTGGTACGTATGTTTCCAGGTACCTATGTACCTTGGTACGTATGTTTCCAGGTACCTATGTACCTTGGTACGCATGTTTCCAGGTACCTATGTACCTTGGTACGTATGTTTCCAGGTACCTATGTACCTTGGTACGTATGTTTCCAGGTACCTATGTTCCTTGGTGCCTGTGTTTCTCAGTACCTATGTTCCTTGGTACCTATGTTCCTTGGTACATATTTTTCCCAGTACATATGTTCCTTGGTACCTATGTTTCCTGGTACTTGTTGCCTGCTGCCTGGGTTCCCCATTGCCTGTGCATACATGTCAGCTTGTACGGATTGTCTGTAAGTTATAAGGATTTTACGTCATTTTGCAGGTACACAGACGTATAGGGCAATCTCACGGATATTTTCAAGTCTTACGGATTTTTTCAAAACCTCATTTTCAAATTTATCTAAGATGTCAGAGCCTGTAGGATGATTTAAAAAACAATAAATAACATCAAACAGCCATCTTCCAATCTGTTCTGCCGCTAGAAATAAGTATTGAACTTTTTCCGCTCTCCTTTCAGATTTTTTTGCAAAATTTACGGATTTTTGAGGCTCTTTATACAGGTAAATGTCCGAAGAGGTTGACATGTATGCCTGTGTTGCCTGGTACCTACTGTATAGTCCACAATGTCTATGTTGTCCTGTAACTGTGTTGCCCGGTACCTATGTTTCCTGGGACTTATGCTCCCCAATACCTATGCTACCCATTACCTTTGTTCCCCAGTACAATGCTTTCACTGTAATTCAAAAGTTCTTTCATTTGTATTAAAATACATTTATAAGGAGAGCTAAGCATCTTTGAGACTTTCTTTATTAACYGCAGGAAAACATAGGTATCGTTCAACATAAGTACAAGGGAACATAGGTACAGGAAACAAACAGTGGGTACCAGAGAACATAAGGGATGACTCCTGAATGAGGTATCAAGCCCAGGACCTTCTTGCTGGGAGGCAACAGTGCTAACCACCATCATATTTGTTCTATTTTTGCTCTGTTGCATGCAGCTTATTTGACCTTTTTTTTAAACACCAGATCTGTTCAGTCAAGCTTTCATTCACATCAGATGTCAGAGTAAAAACTAAAAAAGGGTCATTCTCTGTTAAAGTTTTTTTTAATAACTACTTGATAAATCTTACTGAGCTGTAAAATGTCCTCACAGAGGCCTGAAGCCAGCGTTGCCTTCACAGCCTGTCCTGTGGGACTCGTTCAGCTGTCGGATAATTTCTTTGGTTTTGTTGCCAAGTTGGAACGTCTGTTTTATGCTGCAATCGCCCTGAAATGGTTAATTCATAACGTTTGTCCAGAGAGCTCCAACACACAGAAATATATTACATTTATGCAGTATTTAAACCTTTACGGTGATGAAACAATGCTGTCTCTTCTGTTCTTCAGTTGCATATTGGATGTCAGTCATTAGGGAGAAAAAGGAAAAGCCTAAAACATAAAACACTTTACTTACTCTGTTTTAGGAGAAATTTATGGTGTGATGTTCAGGCTGTTTTTTTGCTAAAAGCTATTCTCAGAAAGTCATACATTATGGATGTACCCCAGCTTTCTGAAGGGGGGTGGGATCAGAGAGTGCTGGATGCATGTCTCTGTCCATCTTTGATAAAAGTTTTAACAAATTCTATATTTACACAAAATCTGATGTTATTAATGATACTTCTGTGGCAGTATTTGTTTATAAGTCTGTGTTTTTTGTCTGTTAAATCTGCAGGCCTGGAGGAGGTACGACACAGATCGTAGTGGATACATTGAGTCCAATGAGCTGAAGGTAAAAGCTCCTCAAAGTTCTAAAAGTTCTCCTTCCTGTTAGTTTAATTTGAAGGTGGGCGGGATCATCTGATAAATCGGCCAATCCAGACTAGAGTTAGAGCTCTATTTAACTTCTGATACTTTCAGTTGAACCTTTATACAACAAATGCATTTCTTTGATTGAGTTTATACTTTTATAAATACTTTTTGAAGTTAGACAAACAAAAAAAAAATTTCTACCATATTTTATACACAGTCAGTTTTTTATTCGTTATTTAAATAATGGTAACTGTTATTTTTTATTATTTCTTTTTGATGCTCTTAGTTTGAATTGTATCTGGTAAAGATGCCACAAGCTGCACACGGTGCCTGACACATCCAGCATTGCTTGTATGAGGGGACAGTTTTTATTTAATTTGGGATAAATTACATAAAAAATAGAAGTTTTACACTTAAATGGACTTAAAAAGTAGCAGAATCTACTTACTTAAGCGGAAGCTAATCTATGCAATTAATTATGTTTCTTAAGTATTTGTGTTTTGTATAACAGAACTTGTAACTTGTAAAATGATTTGAAATTTGTAACTGTGTATTTGTAATGTGTAACAGTGAACTTGTGATTTGTAACCATGAACTTGAAATTGTAATAGTTTTTAAAATCTATTACACATACAAAACAGCAGTTACACCTCTTCAGATTGTTAAATGCAAGTGTGCAAATAGTTTTCTACAAGTTRCACATCAAAAACCTGTAACGTTCACAATTTTGCAACAATTGCACGAAAACAAATGTTGCAAAAATAATTTAACAAGTTCACAGTTACAAATCACGAGTTTACTGTTACACATCACAAGCAGACAGTTACAAATTTTAAATCATTTTACAAGTTACAAGCTCTGTTATACAAAACACAAATACTTAAGAAACATTAATTGCATACTAATCGGTCTGCTAACAGTTTCTAAGGTTAGAAAAAAAGCTAATCCGCTAAATAAGAAGCTAGTTCCTACTATTAGCAGATTAGCTGAACTGTGCCCATCACTGATAATACAATAAAATACAAGAATGTTGTGCTTTTTGTGTTCTTTTTCTTATCTGTGTAAAATTTTAATGGCTATTCACGGGTGTGTTTAAAAAAGGATTGAGTTATTTTAGTTTACAATTCATTAGTGCATGAATGGTTGTATAATTACTGTAAATAAATGGTTGAAAAGATTAGTGTTCGTGTCATGCAGTTTGTATAATTGGTGCTAATGTCAAGTGAGAATGGAAGGGAGGGGTTCCCTTAAAGCTACATTTATCACACTGTACACATTCCACTCGTTTGGCATGTGGAAAACAAGCTCATACAGCCTCTTTTAAAAACACTAACTTCATTGTTTCTGCCATAATTATTCAGTCATGAGTGTGTAAAACAATTTCATCTTTGACTGTTGTAGTTTGCGTTTTGTCTCCTCAGGGTTTCCTGTCAGACCTGCTGAAGAAGTCAAACAGAAACTACGACGATAAGAAGCTGAACGAGTACACAAAAACAATCGTGAGTGTCATGACATTTAGATTAGAAACGTTACAGCTCATCAACCACAAACGACCATCTTTCAGACCAATAATAGTCTATAAAATATCAAATATATTCCAATAATAAAAGTTGCTGCCTCTGAGATTTTTTTATTTTGCCCTAATGGGAATATTCATTTGAATGCCTCAAACTACATCATTTCGCTACTGTGTATCACTGTGTATTTCTACACAGTAGCGAAGTAAATATTAACTTTAAAAAGTGACTGAGTCATCATTTTCAGACCAGCAGGGTCTGTTGTCTATCTGTGAGCTTAACACACGACTGTTGCTGTTTAATCCTCTCACTGGATCTGTTTGAGTTGTGATCCATGGATCTTTAATTCTCACTCATAATTTCTGTTTTAATTTTCTTCCTGTGTAGCTCAGGATGTTTGACCTAAATGGTGACGGTAAGCTGGGCCTCTCTGAGATGGCGAGGTGAATGATGCTTCTGTTCTTTATTCTTTGTTTGGAAGCTTTTTTTAAATTTTACGTTGATGCAAAAATGCTACTCAGATAAAAACGAAACAAAAACTGATTAGTGTCTGTGTTTGACTTTAGGCTTTTGCCCGTCCAGGAGAATTTCCTGCTCAAATTTCAGGTAAGACTCAGTTTGCAAAGAGCAAAAGCGTGTGAAAAGTTAACATTATGGCGTTAGCTTCAGAGCTAATACAGTACATATTGCATTAGCTCCTAGGGGTGTAAATCATCAGGTTTATCACAATACGATATTACATCAATATGTTTGGATGACGATTTGATATTTCTCGATATCACAAAGTCTGTCACGATATGATTTCGATTCAATTCAATTCACACGTCTCCGATTGATATAATGCAACATCATATGCCCATCTAACACAATGACTGTTAGATGGGCATATGATATCGATTCACATCGAGAATATGATGACGATAAAGCTCAATATTTTCATTTTGCCTCGATATAACTGAATCATGAAGCATTACAATTGATATATATCGATAAATATCGATGTAKTGTTACACCCCTATTAGCTCTTAAGCTTATRTGTACGGTGTTAGCTCCAGAGCTAATTTACTAAGCATTACGTTTGATCATTTCAGCCCATATGCAAAACACAGAAACTAATACAAAATATAACTTAAGGTTGCACAAAGTAGCATTTAGCCTTGATTTTTTTGTCTTTTAGTCTCAACCTTTAGTAGAATAGAGGAATAACAACATCCCTTTAACAATATTTCTGAATGGACATGCACCTTTAGACATACTGGATGATGACCMCACTCTTTTATATGACCTTTTAGAACATGGATGGATTTTCATTCATTGTGAAGGCAGCTTGTAACTAAATACATTTTGACTCTTCTGCTCCTCAACATCCTCTGTACACCTACTTTTTAAAAAACACGTTTTGATGCYGACAGTCTTTGACTTCCATCGAGGATTCAGAAGCAAAAAACTTTATATGCAAAATTCATGGCCTGAATTGATAGAAAAGTAATTTATTCTACTTTTACTGCCCATTCAAAGTTCTTTTCCTGCTAAAAAAAAATCTGCTGACGATCACAAACATCTGACTTCAGTCTTCATCTGGGAAAAAGCACAATCAGCACTGAGTTCTGGCTCAGATAAAAGCTGCGTTTATCTATCAGCCCTGGCATCAATCAACAAGCTCGATGGAAAAACGATGCACGAGTGAACCCTGAATATTATGTAAATGTGTCATATACTCATTTTTTTCTCTTTTTTTCTGCTCAGAAATGGGATGTTAAATATTCAAATATTTTTTGTTTGGTTGTAAATCAGAACAAATCAACCTTTTATTTTATTTCTTTTTATTCTTTGGTGATGCTGTTTGTATTTGACAGGACCGATGATGGTTACTGAAGCTTCAGATTTATGTCTAAGCTATATTTTTCTTCATGTTTTCATAAAAATCCAAACTTTGATCACTTTAATACGAGTATGCAATGAAGTGGCAGTATTACAAAATGAACAGCGATGATGTTTTGTGTGTAACATTTGCAACACGTTTACAGCGTTTCGTCTTTGAGCGTGTTGACATGTTCCCATTTGTGTTGGCTCGAGAGAGCAGATCAACAACCATGCTCTGAACAGAGGATTAGTAAATCTGATGTGGATTAACTCAACTCTAGTCCCAGTTATCATAATCTGCATGGATTAATATCTGTTGTGGATCTGGGGCTCTTTTTTTAAAACACTTTCTAGAAATGTGCATCTGCTTCGAATAATTTTCTCTCCTCTGTTTTGTTTCAGGGCATCAGACTCACCGTTAAGGAATTCGACTCTCTCTTCACTTTCTACGATAAGGTGAAAAAAAGATGTTTTTATCTGTGAAAAGCCTTAATGCATGTTGAGTTTAGGGTTCTTACAGCAAACAGTGAGAATTTGATAAAATTACAAATGTGTGCCTTGTGGTGGGGGGATGTGGAAAACTCAGAGGATCAGGCCGCTTGGATTCATCCTCTTGGGAAATTTTCATGGCAATCAAACTAATGGATGTAAGGATTTGTCGTGGCGGACATGTTGAAGGGTATTCCCAGCAGTATGGTGAAGGGATGGATTTTTTTTCTCACATTTTCACCTAAATGTGTAATTTGTAAACAGTCACATATTTACAGTTTTATTAATTTAAAATCACTGGTCTTGATAAGGTAGGTGTTTGTACCAGAAACGGTCCTACAAAGGTAACATGAACCAGATACACACGTCTCAGGACATCCTTTTATTTCAGAAAATTAAAATGAAATATCTGAATACCCCAGCAAGTAATGGGTGATAGGGCCTATCTAGGCCAGTGGTTCCCAAAGTTGGGTTCATGACCCAAWTGYATCTAGAGTCCTTGGTTAATCTCCAGAAATCAAATAAATGGAATGAGAATATTGGTGATGTAATATTTTTCCCTATAATCATTACAAAAACATAAAATATACCATAAAATAATAATATATTATATTTGTAAAAGCTGTTTAGATTGCCAATAAGCCCTTGTGTATAAGGAATTTGACAAAGTTTGTGTATTAAGTGATATTTGGGGTTACAAGCCTCTTTTACAAGGTGAAATATTTGGGAACCACTGTTTTAGTTTATGGTTGCAAGTTTTTTCAATGAGAAGGGGGTCATGTAGCATGGCAGAGAAGACTAGAGTTGTTTCAGAAATGGATTGCCGCTGTCAGATTTGCAATATCTCTCATAGTTCAGAGGTTATCGTCACAAAAAGTTGCAACAACAACTGGGAACGTTGCCTGTTATGCACAGCTATTTGACATGTTCAATGTCTGAAACACATGATCTATTGCAAATCTGATTGCAGAAATCCATTTCTGAGACAATTCTGGTCTTCTTTCATATGCTAAATGACCCCCTTCATTTGATATGCTACATGACCCCCTTCATTTGATATGCTACATGACCCCCTTCATTTGGGAAAATTTGACTTTGATCCAATATGGCGGCATTCAAAATAACGGCCACGTTCTGACCCTCTCACCCATTACTTGTTGGGGTATTCARATATTTCATTGTACATTTTCTTTCTAAAATAAATGAGTGTCCTGCGACTTTTGTCTCAYCCTGTWTTATAAATACTATATGTTAGCTTGTTATGGTACCAGAGTATCAAACACTCAAGGATTAGGCCAGTGTTGAGTGGGCACAGAAAACTTGACMAAGAACYGATTTCAGAGCTGTTAGAAGTAAAATCTCTGAGTTTTGTTCTGTCTCTTCTGTCAGGACGGTAACGGCTACATAGATGAGCAGGAGCTGGATGCTTTGCTGAAGGACCTCTGTGACAAGAACAAAATGGTAATGAATAGTTCACCTATCGATCGATCAGTTCAGCTGCTKTGGGCCAAAAATAGCCGCGAGATGAGTGTGTGTTTGGTTTCTGGCAGGACGTGGACTCCACCGGCCTGGTGGACTACAAGAAGAGCATCATGGCTCTGGCCGACGGAGGGAAACTGTACCGGACCGAGATGGAGATTGTCCTCTGTCGGGACTCCACGCTGTGACCTTCCTGGCTGGGACCATTTCATCCTCCTGCACTGCTTCCTTCCTTCCTTCCCTCCTTCCTTGYTTCCTTTCTTCATTCCTGGTGCATGTGTGACCCCGTCCTCCTCACTACACCACTTAGAGTGAAGACAAAAGTGCTCCTGAAAGCACAAAGTAAACGCTGGCCCTGCTGATTTAGCTATACCCTTCTGAATTTTTCATTTTTTTAAAACCTGCAAGACAACAACAAGAAGAAAATATTGTGTTTTTATTTATTTTAAATCTTGTTTTAAATATGCATTTGTATTTTTAACTTATATATTCTCTCCCTCTAGATTTATGATGAATAATTCTGATTTGTAGCATCGCTTTAATTAATTTATTTCAACCTAATTTATTTATTATGAGCTTGTTTCATTTGATGAGGCTTGTACTGTTCAAATAAAGATATTACCAAGAGAATGAATAAACATGTTATGACAACCATTGACCTGATTATTCATTTTTTATTGACGCAGCTAAAAAATAAAGAAGCTGCTGCAGGTACGGATGGAAGGATGTTTMGAGTTTTCACCAGAATAAGAGCGTTTCCTTCCAAAAGCACTTCACTTTCTTCACTACCGTGATGAGGAACAAGCTGGAGCTGCTACATTTTTTATAGAYGAGGGTCTCTGAGGACGTGTAAGACTCTTTGAGGGCCACTTTGAGTAAAAACGCACAAAAAATGAGCAGCTGGGTAAAGAACAACAAAAATGTAGACCTAATGAAAGCCAGGAGGATTTAAGAAATCTGTTTAAGAAAACAAAACTAAAGAAAAAAAAAACAGGTCAAATATGACAAAAGATCTTTATTATAGATTACATGGGAATTTTCTCTTATCATTAACTGCAGCAAATCTCAATCCAAACATGTTATTCTGTTTMTTTTTCATCGTTCAGTGTCAAGGAACGCTCTGCTCTCCATCAATTAATCATCAGCAGCACTTTCATATTTAATTAAACTCACTATCTTTAAAGCACACCCCTTTACGCACGCCATGGCTGCGACCGCACACTGCCTCACAGCAAATGTTCAGTTTCACACACGTTTGAGCAAACAAACACGCACGTATGTAAAAAAAAAACGTACAGCAAATTCGCCCACAGAGGGACACAGGGAAACAGTGGGCTGCAGATCAAGCTGCTAACGAGGAAAAAGAGTTTTATCCGCTCTGATTCCTTCACACACATCGGTCCCTCGCAGTGAGAGGACTGAGGCAGATGAGTTTAGTCTCTGCTGATCGGTTCTTCATGCAGTCATGGCTGCAAATGTTTGTGGCAGCAGAAAATAGAATCACATCTCATGTGGAATGGCTCTTCTGAGTGGAAGGAGTGGGAGATGGAGGGACGAATTGGGYCTCGTCTTTAGTAATGAGGGTGTTGCTTCGGTCAGTTGTGGTGAAGAAAGCTGAGCTGAAAAGTAAAGCTTTAGATTTACTGATCAGTTTTCATTCCACTCCTCACCTATTGTCTTGAGCCGTGGATCATGACTGACAGAACAAGATCCTGGATACAAGCAGCTGAAATGAGCTTCCTTCAYACGGTGGCTCAGCCCACAGAGAGGGTGAGGAGCTCTGTCATCCGGGGAGAACTCATAGAAGAGCTGCTGCTCCTCCACATCAAAAAGTATTCGCTGAGGTGGTTTGGGCAACTGATTGAGATCCTTCCTGGACACCTCGCTTTACCCACCGGTAGGAGGCTCCAGGGAAGACCCAAGACTCACTGCTAGACAAAAACTAGAAAGTGGGTTTCCCTCCTGGACCCGTTGCCTCCGGGACCTGACWACAGATAAGCKGCAGAAGATGGAGGTGGAGATATCTYGCGTCTGTGTTTGACTGTTATTGARGTGGCAGCTGGTTCATGTGCAGTACAGAATAATTAATTACTCCTGCAGAACGCCAGGTCATTTTCTCAATCTCCTTTTGTCAGGAAAGTGTAGCCAGATGGCCAAAGTCAAAAACAAATCCACATTTRATGTAGACAAACYAGAATTTGCTTATCATGTTGCAAAATACGAAGAATTTAAAAGTTGAGACAGTTGTGTGTTGCGTATAAATATGTATATACTGACCATGCAGGAAATAAGAATACCTGTATTTTGACTGTGAACTGTGTACTTCAATAAACCCTCAAGCTGGCTGTCAACGCTGACTCCTCTTTTTTRAGCAACTTCATCACATCTTTTGCCTCTACATTATAGATATATCTCATGAACCACAGTTGTTTTGTTTTATAAAAGTCATGCTGTCATTTGCTGTGAACAGGACCCAGGAATGTATAGATGCTCAGGATCTGAAAGATTTAATGAACAAAACACAACACTGAGCACACACATRGTTAGTGAGGAGCAAAAAACACAAGGTAGGGTGAGAACGATGAGCTGGAGGTACGACTTAAATGTAAGAATGTCTGATGACTCGAGGAAAAACTGAGAAACCAAACAAACTGATTATAAGAAATCTCAACACATGGAAACACGACACAGAGCCAAGCACGAACAAAACAAAGCCCAAAGAAGATTGTGACAGRTTCACGTCTACAACTCATTAACTTCTGGAGCCAAGCTGATTCAACAAATACTGAGCTTAAATTTGCTGAGAATCATTCACAACAAGTGCTGCACAGATGCTTTGACCTTAACCGATGGAGTCAGGTTAATTCAAGATGGCTGCCAGAGCTAAATGACCTTGACCTGCACAAAAATGGCTGCAGCACAGTCAGTGTTACAGATACTGAGCTAAAATTAGCTGTGGTGGTACTAGSTGTGACATCTAACATTGTTATTTTCAAAGTTTGACCAAAAACGACTCCAACTCTGTCATTTTARTCTGAAACTCTGACAGGAAAGGTGATTTCCATTCCTTAAAGGATCTAATTCCATCCCCTCCATGCACTTATGCAGATTTGAATACTGTGCTCTACTAAAGTTGGGGTCGAAACCCACAGTGGTGTCCTGAAAAGATTTTCTGAATCAATCACATTTAAAAATGACAACTAACAACAGTTTTTTGCCTTAGTCGTTACAAAAGTGTGGGTTTAWTGTAGATAAAATGGATAAAAATATAATGAATATTGTTATTATGCCCTTGTTCAAACCAATAAGGGTAAATAAAACCATCTCTTAGTAAACTTGATGTCATGAAGCAGGCTCACACTTTGTCACAGGATTTAACTAAAGAATAAATTAAAATAAATAAATTAAATGAGATATGCGTTGCTTTGAATCATGTCACCATGTCATGTTTTCTGCAGCACACAGACATAAATCCTCTGCGAGCCGAGGAGAAGCCTGTGCCGCCATATGTTGATGGAGTGTATAAACAAAAAGCATCGGGACACACATGCATTATAACACAACGCACAGCAAAACAAGTCTTTCTAAAGCTTCTAAGCAGYGACAGATTACTCAGCATTAAACTCTGAAACGCGTCTCCTTTCAGATGTTCCTCTCGCTCAGTTCGATGCCGTCCTCCCTGCCTCTTCCTCACCCCAGCAAATATTAAACTGTCATCGCTTTTCTGTCAGCCAAGAAAGTTTTACCAGAAAAGTAAAAMAGGATTTCAGTTCAGCTCTGAGGTCAGGATGAACTGCTGCAGACACAGCAAAGCCTCCTGCCTCTTCTCTGTCAAATCTCTGTGAAATGCTGGATTTTGTCTTGCTTCCTTCAGTCATGAGCAACACATTTATTGTTTTTTTTATTTTAGCATCCAAATGATGGGCAAATGCTGAAGAAAATTRTAATTCCTCAAAGGAATGCCACCTTTAGACTAAGATCAGTTTACGATGAGAATTAACAAAATCATAGATGTTTTGGTCAAACTTTGGTTTTCATTCATGAGATAATTTGCTAAAAGACAAACACAGGCAAAAACATTGTTCTCCTTTGTCATGTGTGTGTGTGCAGTTACAAATGAATATGTCTGATGTCACTTGTTCAACTTAATTTTATAATTCAGTTGGCTGTTACACAAATAAAATGTTTGTGATGTTAAATGTCTGAAAAAACAGCTTTTTTAGATTAACTTTAAGAGATGCTCAAATATATGAAGGCACATGTGTCAGAATGACATTAAAAGTAGTAGAAAATGTAAAAGTATTCATTTCTGTGATACAATATTGCCCTCAGGTGGACTGCTACACAGTAACAGATGCTGCAACGTGGGGATGGAATTACATTTTAGATACATTTAGCAGAGAAAAAAAAAGTGCTTATTTCAGATTATTTTTAAAATTTGTATTTTTGTTTCCCCCATTTTTTTTGTAATATCCCACAGTTTTACTCATACWGGTCTGATGTGGTTCAAATATTTAAGCAGCTGGAGTTACATCATGCTGAAATGGATAACCCAGTGAACTCCAAGTGTAGAAAAACATAACCCTGCTCTGCAACCATCAGATGGCTTTTATCCTGAAGATTGCACGAATGTTGTGTGGATTTATGTGTTTCTCCGTGTGTGTGTGTTTGTGTGTGTTGTGTGCTTTTCTGCTCTCTCATGGCTGCACTAAGCATGCCTCACCATTTCAGGGATTAACAGTCGAATAATACATTATAATCTCATGCATTCTAATGTGTGTGTGTTTTATAAGAAACTTTGTGTCAAACGTGGCAGAAAACATAAAATAAAAATGATAAAGGTAAGAAATGAGGAGAGAGAAAAATACGCAGAAAGTGTGATATCTAAAAAAATTAATAAAATGGAAGAGGAATAATATGTAATCAGTTCAAACTTCATTAAGATGACAAGAACAATCACAAAAATACACAAAACAAACAAAAAATAAACAAAATAAAAACAAAACAACAACTGTGCTAATTACATTTGTTGTTGTTGTTTAGTTTTAAGTTTACAACTTGTTTTTGTATATTCTTATTTYTGTGTGTTTATGTACATTTTGTCAATTAATATGGATGTAACAAGTTATCAAGTATTATTAAGTATCAGAAATGTGTTTGTGTGATGTGTAATTAAAATTATTTGACCAAAACAGATTAAAAATGAAAAACAACAACAAACAAACACCTGTTTAACATGACTATTTAAAAATATGACATAAAAAAAATCAGGATTTGTGGAATTACTATTTTTTTTCGCGTTCTGCTTGCTGACGTCATCGCGTAGCGACGTAAGTATGCGCAGCGCACCGTGCTCACGCCTGCCTGCCCTTCACATCCTCTTGCTAGGCTCAGCTCCTAAGTTCAGCAGCTAACATGGCTCTGCTCAAGTCCAACAAGGTGATCTCCAGTCTGGGGAACATTTCTCCGGCTCTGGGACTCTTGTCCACCCGCTACAGGTGAACTTCCGCATAATGTTTAAATATAACTCGCTTTCATTAAATCGGAAATCAGATATGTTCACGTGCCAACTCCAAGTGTATTATAGCTGTTAGCTAACATAAACAATAGACTAACTAATAATTTTACCTCAGCTGTTCTTTCTGCCTGGTGTTTTTTTTTATGGAGCGGCTCAGTTGTTTACTAGTTAGTGAAATCTAACCAGCTAGTTAATTAATGACAGAGACAAACAGGGGTCAAATTGGGCTAAACAGGCCCCGGTTTCTGCTTTTCGGTTTAGTTAGCAGCATGATCAGCGACAAGCCAATCGCTCTTAATTTTATGTTGCATCTTTTAGTGAAATTATTCAGTAACTCAAGTTGTTAATTTATTACGTTTGTTGCTAAATCCACCATTTCAACTCACATTAGAGGACAAACAGTTGCTAGTAAAGACGCTTCTTAAAGTCACGTCGATGCGTCGGAAGCTCACACACGTAGCCGGTGTAAGGAAAAACACCTCAACCTGACCTGAGAGAATTATATTATAATAAATGCTATGGCTCGTTTATTTGTTATTGCTCGTGTTTTTAAATAATTCAAACCGTATCAGAGTAAACAAACCAATATTTTAGCAGTAAGTCTCGCAGTTGGAGAAAAGCGACTTGTTCTAGGAGGACGGATCAAGCGAGTTGATTGGCTGCCGTGCATCCTTCCTGTGCGCTGATTGGCTGTCGGTTTCAACATGTGGATGCTGATTGGCTAATTGCAGTTCCGTGTGTCCTTTCCAGTAGGGCAAACTTATTTGATCTGTGAGTTTTTTTTTTGCTTGTTATAATGTGTCAAAGTTTCAGTCTTATTTTATTCAAGTCAGCACGTGTGCATCACCTGCAGCTCTTTTTTTAAACGTGACACCCCTTCTGGRAAAGCCAAACTCCCTCCCTGTTCTGCATCATGGCAGAAGCCTTTGGCCCATCCAACACAGATACCGGCTCATCTGTTATGTTTATATAAACCCCAGGTTGTTCAAAGTTTAAGTAAAAGCCATTTGAGTGCAATTTGTTGAAACGATTGAGAAACTGAGTGTAGTGGCAAATGAATAGCCCAACAAAACATCTTTTTTCCTGCATCTTGTCTGTATCGACTGCATTTTACATTCTTTTCTTTAGAGACTAAAACTTATATTCAGTGCAGTTATGCTATTTGAATATACTTTTATTTCACACAAACATTTATCCATCATTGTGTGTGTATGTACTGTATAAGAATCACAAAAAAGTGTCTTAGATAATCTTTACGTTTAGCAGAATTTGTTGTTGTTTTTTTCAACACTTCTTCAAAGAACTGTATTGCACATCTATCCTCCGTTTGTTTCTTACATTTTCTTCTAGGTTTTGATGTAATAAACATGCTTACCATTGATTACAACTTCATTCTTGGCTTGTACATCCAAGAGTTGGATACTTTTGCCCTTTACAGAGTGCTCTGGCCTAAATTTAGCTGCAGAATTTAGATGGTTAGTTTGGTAGAAACTCGAGTCGTGACATGTTGAAGCAGGAGTGGAGTTCAGGTCCGAAAAAAGAACCAATTTAATTAACCTCATTCATCAGTACTTTAGTGTATCAAACACCCTAACACGTTACAGCTCACGTCTGTATTTCATGAACTCTCTCAGCCTGTGTTGTTGCTGTGAGCATGATGAGCTGCAGACACACTGAGATCAGCAGGCCAGACTGAATAATTTGACGTCACCGTCTTTAATCCTGGTGCACATACTTAGACTTGTTCGTCTTTTGTCCTTATGAAGTTTATTTTAATTACAGGCGGTGCTATTTTAGCATCTTTTAAGCTACATGACTCAAAGTAAGAAACAACTTTAGAAATGCGGCTAAAACCCCATGTAGAGGAAGTGGATAGACGTTCTAAAACTCCCCCTCAGTTAAGATATGTGTCACAGCTTTTCTCAGGAATCTCCTGAACCTCCTCAGTGGTCTCAGCTAATCTCCTCAGCAGTGGTGCAGTACTCTGTTGATTGTGTGGGGAAGAATTACTGAGTGAACGTGGTAATAGCATCAACATTTAGGTCCAGATTAGCCAGAAACTTCTAATTGGATTGAGCTGAACAGGAGCTTGTCTGATGTTAGAAATGCAACAAAGTTTGTTTCATAAAAAAAAACTTCATGACTGCATGAAGGCAAAATTTGGTTTTCAGGTGTGAATATGGGAGACATTGTTTCACCATATTGTGTGCAGACAGCCTCCAACCATAGCTCTGTCTCTTTATCAGTGGTAAAATATTAATTTATTTATTTTTGTGCAGCTCATGGTGGGCTGGAGTGCAGATGGGCCCACCTGATCCCATCCTCGGCGTGACCGAGGCCTTCAAGAGGGACACCAACCCCAAAAAGATGAACCTGGGAGTGGGAGCCTACAGAGATGACCAGGGGAAGCCCTTTGTGCTCAGCTGTGTTCGCAAGGTAACAAAGCCAAATAAACCACACAATCTATTAAGCTTTGATCATTTTGACACATGCAGCTGGTTTTTATAATGTTAATAAAATTTTATCCAATCACAGCAAAAATCTTTAGCGGATTGTATCGCATATTGTTACACTTATTTATTTTTTCAAATGAGAGAGAATTTTAAGTTTCACATTTTTATTTCAGTATCATGAAACAAACATGTTAAGAATGAGTTCAGACAGTATTGGTGGATTTGTTTTATACCAAAATGTTTCTTCAAATTGTTTTAWCTTTATATATTTTTTCTCTTTTAGGCAGAAGCTTTGATCGCATCCAAACAGATGGATAAGGAGTACCTTCCCATTGGTGGTCTGGCTGAATTTAGCAAGTCCTGCGCTCAGCTTGCTCTTGGGGCCGACAATGAGGTGTTGAAGAGCGGCCGGGTGAGCTGGGATTGTTTGTTCGTTCGTTACAAACAGCGGTTGTTACTGGTTGAAGTCCAAACGAGTGCAATGATGTTTGTTCTCCCGACAGAGCATCACTGTTCAGACCATCTCAGGAACTGGATCTTTGCGAGTTGGAGCCAACTTTTTGGTGGGCGCCGCCTTTATTGGCGTTTGTTTAAAAAAAAATACAGCTTTAAGATTTGTCTGTGCTAAGAAACACATTTATTTCTTTGGGTCACAGGCTCGATTCCATCAGGGTCCACATGATGTGTACCTGCCCAAACCTTCCTGGGGAAACCACACGCCCATCTTCAGAGACGCCGGCATGCAGCTGAAAGCCTACAGATACTACGACCCCTCCACCTGCGGCTTCGACTTTAAAGGAGCCCTGGAAGACATTTCTGTAAGACGCAGAACAAGGAGCGTCCTGCGGAGTGTGTGTGGGTGTGAACGAACTGAAACCTCGTTTTTTTTTTTTTTTTTCTTTTTTTTTGTGACAGAACATCCCAGAGAAGAGTGTGATCCTGTTGCATGCGTGTGCCCACAACCCCACGGGCGTGGACCCCAGGCCCGAGCAGTGGAAGGAGATCGCTGACATCGTGAAGGTGAGCGAGGATCATCTCAACTTTCCAGGAACCTTTGGATAAAATGTGTTGCTCTTGTCTCAACCAGGAATAATAAATAAATGTGATAAGTGCCGCATGTTATCACATTTAAACATTAACCACGTTCTGATCTTTGCAGAAAAGGAACCTGCTGGTGTTCTTCGACATGGCGTATCAGGGCTTTGCGAGCGGGGACATCGATCGGGACGCCTGGGCCGTACGCCACTTCATCGAGAAGGGCAGCAACATCGTACTGTCTCAGTCCTTCGCCAAGAACATGGGACTCTACGGTCTGTCAAGAATCATAACAGACTCTTATTATGAGAGGAAAAAATTCAATGAATCAAATGAAACCTTTTCTTTGTGATAGTTTTGTCGCCACCCAGTGGTGAAATGTAGATCTGACTCAGCCAAAGAAGGAACATTGCTGATTATTAGTTTTTTGTTCATCTACTTGTTCGTTTTTTTCTATTAATTGGTTTCTTGTTATGCTGACGACTCGTTAATGTGACTGCTGACAGGTGAGCGTGTGGGAGGCTTCACCGTGGTGTGCGGCGACGCAGAAGAGGCAAAGAGGGTCGAGTCTCAACTGAAGATCCTCATCAGGCCGATGTACTCCAACCCGCCGATGAACGGCGCCAGGATCGCTGCAACCATCCTCAACACACCCGATCTGCGCAGTCTCTGGTACGCTTTAAAAAGCCAAAGTGCTTCTTGTTTGTCCAGATCATGGTCTTTGGCTTCACCCCAGTTTGGGAACCACTTGATTAGATTAAGCAAGTAGTTTGTCAAACACTTCTATAATCCAGCTTCCAGCCTTACAGGATGATTTTCCTCTCAAATATACCAGGATTATTTTAGGATACCTTTTCAGAAAGTTGCTGAATAACGAAATCAAGTGAGTTTGTTAAATGGCAATAAAAATAAAATAAAATAAATCACATACCTCCATAGTTCAGTGTTTTAATTTTTATTAAATTTGGCATAAACTTTATCTTTTTTTTTCTTGTTTACACAAACTCTTTTTTTTGTTCTAAAGTGTTTATAAATATAATAATAAATGTTAAAATTCACTATATTTTTAGCTTTAAGACTCCTCCCAAACTGGCCGTAAAAGCCTCCTCTAACAAACTCGAGGCCCACGGGCCACCAGTTGATAATCACAGTTGTAGCATGTTTTGTGTGTGAACCAAGGGGCAGAGATGGCTCTATTGATTGTAGATATTCTGAGGGATATATATATATATTTTGTGACTGTAGGCTGGAGGAGGTCCACGGCATGGCTAACCGCATCATTAAGATGAGAGAACAGCTGGTGGCAGGTCTGCAGAAGCACGGCTCCTCCCACAACTGGCAGCACGTCATTGACCAGATCGGGATGTTCTGCTTCACGGGCCTCAAACCTGAACAGGTACTCTGTTTCTTTCATATCTATGATCCGTCGTTTGAGCTCTGCTGTGTGTGAAATAAAACTCATTATTGTGTTTCCTGAAGGTTGAGCGTTTGACGAAGGAGTTTTCCATCTACATGACCAAAGATGGCCGTATCTCCATGGCAGGAGTGTCCTCTGGTAACGTGGGATATCTCGCGGAGGCCATCCACGCCGTCACGAAGTAGAGCGGGTCCTTCTGGGAGAACAACCCAGTCTAAGCTGCAGTCTTGAGGAGCTTAAGCTCTCAAAGTTTAGTTGTTTTTTTTCTCATCTGGATTTTGTCATGAATTCAACTTGAAATGGTTGTTTATTTTCTGGTTGTTCTTAAGCATTTGACTGAACGGACTCCCTTACCAAATGAAAGCTCAGAGTCATATTTATTGAACACATGCAGCTGCTGGCTGTGCACTAATGTCCTTCCAAATGTAAACTCAGCTTTAAACATCAGGAGCTTTAGATGCATGTTGAGATCTGTGTTGCTTTGTAAAAGCCTGTAGGAAAAGCATTTTTTTTTATTTTAATGGTGGTTGTGTAGCACTTTATAAGTTGTGTGGCACAGTTTGAGTTTATTACTGTATAAATGGGTATTTATCAGGTTATGAGTTTAATGGTCAATCTGATCAATCCTTCTGGTATTTAGTTGCTTTGTCGTATTACAAATAGCTCAAATGTTTCCTTTATTTCAATAGTTTTCCTGCAGGTTTTGTAATTTCAGCCTAAGTAGTCACAGGGCAGCAGATGATCCTCTTCAAACAAAAAATAAACTAAACAAGCACAAAAATTGAGAGTTTAAAAAGTAAGATGTGATTATTTTTTGTCTCATTAAACCATGAAAACAGCACTATTTCTAAATGTTCATACCAAGGCTTCATAATGAAACTAGATCTGATTTTGAGTAAGGTTGTTGCATTTTCAGTGTGAACATCAGACTGTGGGACACCGGTGAGATCTAGAAATGTGGGTTTGGTCCATTTTTGCTCAAACTTGAGGACGTTTGTCTCCATGCTCTGTATTCTCTGTGTGACTAAAGATCATGGGTCGTTTAACTTTACAGAACAAACAATAAATCGTTCTACAGTACTGTTTCATGTTGGTGTTTTATTTTTTTAACCTTTTTCACTATTTGCCTCCAAAAGACTTCTGTGCTTAGTTCCATTCATACTGTACCATTTAGTGTTGATGCTTAATAAGGTAATATTACAGGCGCTTTATAAAGCAGTGATTATTACAACATTGTTCTATCAAAACATGTTTACCATTTGGATAGATGAGTAAATGTTATTTTGTGCTAGTTGCTCAGCTTTAAAATTTCTCTGCCTACATGTGGGTAATTTACGGACAAATGTTTGATATTTAATTTCTGATTTTATCAAAAGGTACAAGACTTGATTTTGTCAAACTGGGCTTGCTATGAACAGTGTTTTGTAGATGATTGTTGAAGTGTTTACAAATTACTCATGAAGCATTGATAAATCCTTCATATATCAGTTTAGTATATTTGCATGATTTACAGATCAAAATTTTAGGAAGAAAACAGTGATAACTGCAGGAGGAGGTACAAGACCAGTGGGCTTATGTAAAGCCTGCCAGGGCCGGATTTAGCGGGTACGGGACCCTGGGCTTGAGCTAATAACACACACACACACACACACACACACACACACATA